ATATATATATATCATTAAACATATTTTTATCATTTTTAACATGGTTTATATTGTCATATTATTGTGCAATTTTTTTATATTTTATTATAAATTTTTTTTCTTCCTATTGAGGCAAAAATACTTTAAAATTCGTATTGAGTTGAGAACCGGGGCATGGATGAGGTGGGTTTCACATCCCATTTTCAAACCTGATTTTTTTATCAGTCTACTTCTAACAAAAACACATTTAATTCAACTTATTATAAACACATTTCTTATAGATTTTATTGTAGCGAAAATCCTTTTGATAATATCCAAACATTAATAAGCATCGATCATGAGTATTGAACATCTTATAATTACACGAACAATTAGAATTAAAAACCAATACTAAATGTTTGATTAGTTTGTTCCATACCAAACTAGTACAAATCATTTGAATATCACGTACAATTGATTTAACGAACATGTTATACATAGTTCTTGCACACACAACTCCATGTTAATAACAATTTACAATAGAAATCTTATATCTGTGAACCAGACCAGAGCAGACGGGCGGCAGATCAAACCTCCAAACGATTCACCTTTCACACGAGGCGTTTAATTGGTAAAATATCTAAATTAAGTCCTTGCTTGAACCAGAGGCGATTGAGCAAATGGCGAATGAGGAGACATAATACGAGGTGACATCAATGTGTTTTCATCGTATAATCGTGATGAAAAACTAAGTCGAAGATTCTTTTCAAATGGTTTGTGTCTCTTATTGTTCCTTGTCACCACCTCATTCCCTTTCTCCTTCCCGACAAATGCATGAATTCGATCAAGTGCAATCTCAACCGTTTGATCATCCATGTTGGCAAAGCAAACCCTAAACCACCCTGGTTCCACGCAGTGGAATGAAGAACCAGGGGAAACATTGAGTTTAACATCTTTGATAATTAATCTCCATAGCACCATTTCTTCATCAAAAGTAGGCTCCTTTAGAAGCCTACGTAAATCCATCCAGACAAAGAGACCTGCGTTACTTGGTAAGCAAGTAATATTTTCTTCTTCAAGCCCTTGAGTGAAAACCTTGTGTCTCTTAGCTAATCTCCTTGAATTTTCACTTAGAAAATTCATAACAAACTCTTCATCAGAAAGGATTGAAGCTAGAAAGTATTGAGTTTGTGAGGAGATCAACCCAAAACTCGACATTTTTCTTGCTGAACTCACAACAGCATCGTTGTACGAATACAGGATGCCAACACGAAACCCAGGGAGCCCCATGTCCTTTGACAAACTATAAATAATGTGAACTAGCTCAGGGTTTACCGGGTTCATCGGGTCATGCTCCATCTCTTGCAAGACTTCAGAGATAGAGACGAAATCGGGTGTGTTAAAGATAGTCGCTGCATAAATCTCATCACATACAAGATGAATATTCTTGTCATTGATGAAGCTCATGAGGGTTTTGAGAGTTTCTCTATCCATGGTTGTGCCAAGAGGATTTGAAGGATTTGCAACGATCAACCCTTTGACTTTTATGTTGGACGCAATTGCATCTTCGTAAGCAGACTCAAGTGCTTCTTGAGTGATCTTGAAACCATTTGAACTCTTGCATGTTATTGGAACTAGTTGCACCCCAGTTCTCCACCTTAGATCTCTGTCAAATCTGAAAAAGGAACCCAAAGATTCTTTTAACAAAATCAGCACAATATATATATCACTTTATAACGATGAATTTTTTTGTTTTAGAGCTTGGTAAAAGAAGAATTGTTGGATTGATACAATATATATACACACATGTATATGTCTGTATGTATGTATGTATATATATGTATATATATATTATAGTATGAAATAACGTTGACCCCCTAAAAGTCCAAAAGTAAGTTTCAATTTAAGAATATTTGGAACAGTCAAAGAATTGCTTTTGACTTGTTTTTTTCAGGTTTGATTTATTGGGTGAAACAGGAGACCTTGACATGTTATTTCCCTAATTAATTAATCATTTGACTAATTAGATTGTGTTAGAATTCTTAATATTGAGGTTGACCAAGTCAATTCGCAGATAGGTATAAGGTCGACTGGTTGGTCTAATCATAAATGGTAACCTAAATTGACATCTGTCACCTCCTTCAATAAGCTTTTGATTAAATTAGAAATGTTGTATCCCTATGACATAAATTGTTATCATGATGTGTACGTATCTAAACCTCATTTTCATACAAAACTATATATATATAT